CATCTGGTAGATAGAGTTACTGATTCCTTTCTTGAGTCCATCATTGAAGAACATAATCAAAATGGCATCTTGCTCTATGGAGGCTTGCGCAGCAAGGGTTTTGAAACTGGCAATATAGGAAGTGAGATTGCCTGTCTGCTTCAAGGTTCGGAGTTTGTTCATGGCTGTGTTGATAGCATCAGCTGGTACAAATGCTTCTTTGAATTTGGTTTCAAAGTTAGTGAAAGTTCTGTATGACTTGCTGATGGAGTTATCAACTTTGGTGTAAAAGGTCAGTGTCCAACCCATGGCACTATCTTCTGTCATATATGCAAGAGCAGTGTGACGATCATACTGGTGCTAGGCACATATGATCAATAGCACAGTTCTTCTCACCTTCAGAAAAGGAGATAAAGTGCAGATCATTAAATCCATATATATTGACCCATCTGCTCTTACTCCAGTCTGGTCCTAGGAATCTGCCCTCCCATGTCCTATCCATGTCCACCTATCTCTGCTGGTGCATTATTTTTCCCAAATGTCATTGCTAAACAAGCTGCAGGTCTTATTACACAACTACTCACATTCCACAGTGCATGATGTTTTATTACCTATAGACTCATCGTGCACTCGCTAACTATGCTACAATTCTCACCTACGCATTCTGGACATTCACATGCTACAATATAAATGACCACAGTACATATGATTGAGTAGTTCCCTTTCCCCTGGACTCAGCTCTATAGGAGAGTCGTTCTTGTGTTATTTTTGTAGACCTTGCACTATCCATCTATTTTGCTCCTTCTTGACAGTCCTGCACAATTTGACTGCTCTGAAGTTCCATACCACTAGGATCTTACCCTTAAAGCTCTTGCAAGAATACCCAACCCACAACTGGTAGTTAAGTGCTGTTCTTCACTCGTGCTATATCCCTTGCAACCAGCTGCTCCATAGAGCATGGTTGATTTTGTGCACATTACATTGGCCACACCGGCATATGACATCCAATACATTTGCATGTATCTTCTAATGGTTCATCTCACTCCTGTGATATTAACATCAGTCAATTTTTGCCTGCACTCATGGTTGATTCTTTGGTATAGGAATTCAGAGGTATACATACAGCCCACATTCAAGTTTCTTAGGCCGATATAGGTTATAACTCCTTCACTCACTTACTTCCCTTGCACATAATTGAAGGAAGTGCTTCAATAGCAGTCCTCTTGGGCTGATCAATTAAACTCATGCCTCTTAGGATAAGTAGTGCTAGTTGCTAACCACCTAGTACCAATTACTTCTTTACAGCGGTAATAACCTTCTTCTCATCTGTGTTGTAGATTGTGGAATTAATGGCAAAGTGTGCTTTTACTGAGAATAACCATCTAAGAGCCTTCTCAGGGCTTCCATCATAGTTTGTCAGTGTTCCAGCTTTAAGCTCAGATGTAGACATAGGTGCTGACATCCTGATACTAGGATTTGCAGTAAGGTTTCTGGGGGTTTGTTCTTCTGGGAACTCATTGGACAAAGTGGTCAAGGAGTGTTCTGGTTCAGTGGTTACAGGGGATGGGCCTTATCTCTCTCTGTATTCTTTATCTGGACCTGTGGCCTCATGATACTCTTCTTCTGGTTCTGGTGGTGCATTAGGATTGCTTTCCTACCAATACTTTCTAACCCAAGGGGTCATGCCAAATCTTGTTCTGCTTCCCACTCAGCCTTCTGTACCTCAAAAATTGCTCTTGTTGCTTAGTTTCATTCTTTCCACTCTATCTCCTCTGTTTTCCAATGTGCAAGCTCTTCAGAATGTTCTGCTCTCCTCTTGGCCCTTATCTCTTTTTCTCTGGCTTCTGCCTCCATGGCATTTTTGTGTGTGATAACCTGTGCCATGAAGACATCACCAATGAGCCTTGTACCCTTTCTCCTCTCTGCTTTTTCTTCCCACACTGCAAGCTGACCATGTACTCAATTGCAGTATCTGACCTGTAGGACTGATGCTGCCTGTAAGCCAATCATTTGACACTTAGATTCCTCCTTGCATTGCTCTGACTCCAGCAAGGCAACTTGGAGTTTGTGCTCTGCTGTGGTTGTGGCAGGACAGTTTAAAAATTTCCCATATCATTTGTACTGCAGTGGTGATACTGTCTGTGGCATGTACATAGGTATTTTGGATGTTGAGCAGATAGGACTCAAGGTAAACAGGAATGCTGCAGATGTTGTCACTAAGCTATTGACTGCCATTTGTGCAGATTCTAAATATTGGTTTGAGCCTGACTCAGGTTGTGCTAGACTAGATAGCACTTCAGTTGCCCTCTGAATCAATTGAGACACAATGTGGACTGGCATCATCTGAACAAGTGGCGGGTGACCATGACATGATGTCTCTTGACTCAGTGCCATGACTTCCTCTGTAACAACATCTGGATTGAAAGAATGGACCCCCATCTTCTTGAATGTGGCTTTGATAAGCTCTGTTGTGAGTGCACAGTTGTGAGTGTTACAGTGCCCCACTCTTTTCCCATCATCACTGTGGACTCCTATATGGCTGTACTTCTAACGCTTCCTTTTCACTGCATTGTTTCCTCATTGTCTCCCTTATCTCTGACTCATACCTTGTCTTCCCATGAACCTTCCTTTCTTAGTAGTCGCTACCCTTTGCCCAGCTTGGTCTGTGCACAACTCCCTTATGTATATAAACCCTAGTTACCACCTGTATTTTCTCTAACTTGAATCTACTTGGTTCTCCTTGATACTTGAACTCTAGCTCCTTGGGAAGGAGGCTAGCCATCTGTCCCATTTGAACTCTAGATCCTGCGGGAGTCTAGATGATCGCTCCTGAGGGAGGCATTGACTCGATAAGGCTTAGTCCTTGATCGACCCTGATCTTGATTCCTTTATTGGAATGATGCTCTATCCGAGTTCGTAACAGTGAGCATGTCCATAGATAGCTAAAAAGTTTTGCTTTGAAAGCTCTTCACCACATTCCCTTTGCCATCAGGCTTTCTCCTCTGCCCAGCAAGCTTTCAGCCTGCTGAAGACAATGATGTCAAGACTCTGGTAAATATGGGTGCTATGAGATGGGTTGCACAAGACATGAATGTTATGTGTGCGTGCATGTTCTAAGAAAGCTCATGTGTAGTGAGATGAGTGACCATCAACCAGGAGAAGTTGTGCAGAGCCTTTGGCTTTGCCTTGAGTATGTTCATCAAAGTGTTGGATCCAAAGTAGTCCAAGCTTGCCGTCAGTCCATCCTTTTGCAGAATATCCAAGGCTAAAGGACTGTTTTAGTAGGATTACTAGTAGGACCAATGGCCAAGAGTGCTTATGATGCATTAGCAGGGTTTTCTTGACACCAGTTCATGCAATAACCTTTTCCTTTGAAGATAACACAAGGTGGTGCTGTCTCTCCATCAGCACAGATACTGACAATGACAATTGTCAGCTCCTTGCTCCCATTTTGTTGCTCATACACAGTATGGGCACCTGTTACAAACTAGGATAGTTACAACAATAGCAGCTTGATAAGAGTGACAGCTAGAGTCAGTTCAAGACCTTGCAAATGCAAGGGTCATAAGACAAGACAAGGAGAGTGTCCTTGACTTGAATATTGATGTTCAGATGACTTAAGTTTGGAGGACTTAAGTGAAGGAAATTCCAGGTAAAACCTAGTAAGATTTAAGTGAAGAACTACAGCATACAAAGTAGACTATATATAGTGAACTGTAGGTGCTTTAGGGCAGGCTGTCATATGCCATTCTGGACTCTCAACTCTAAATCCACTTCTCCAGATATCCAGATCCAAGATCTGGATCTCAAATGATCTGATCTATCTTTATCTTCCGGAATCCAAACCCTATATCAGCGCCCAACCCCATTTAGACTTCCCCTGTCTCTGGACTCCAGTTAACTATGTTTCCCTTCTGATTATTTTCCATTACATACATTTCATTTCCAGGTGTTCATTATTTGTGATCCTGTCCTACTTACTAATAGACTTTGCATATGCTTCGTACATAGCCTTTATGTTTGCTGATTGATTCCTATATGATACCTACAGTATATAAACCTCCTGTAACTCTTAGAAATACTCCAGTTCAAATATCATCTTAGTTCCTGCTCATTCCTGCATCCTCCAGACTCGAGACAAGTCTCCTGTCATATTCTGAGTCTTAGGATTGCATCCTAGACTACATTTCTAACTCTACCTTAAGGTAGTCTATCCTCTGTTAGTTTCTAGTCTGGACTTCATCTGGATTAGTCTTATCCACTTGTCCAAGTAACATCTGACGTCCATCGGATTATCTCACATTCAGATCGGATGTCCATTGTCTGCCCTAGTCAAATCCCAGAAACTCTGGACAACTGTTCTAGCCCCTGGAAATTAAGGGCACATACTCGGGAAAGGGGCACAGCATACGAGCTGAGGCCAAGCCCTTGTGATCCGACCCCTTTGAGCATGTGACCTTAACACAGGCATGGGATAGGGGATGAGTCAGAGATAAGAGACAAGTCAGAGATAGCAAGAATAGTCCTCCTAGTGACAGTGATAGCAATCATGGAGTAATACAGTGTAAGTCAGAGATAAGATGAATTGGAGATAAGTCTAGCAGTGGCAGTATGTGGTATGTGACATAATATAAGGTAAGAGAAAATGAATAGGGGCACACATTGACTGTAACAGCACCACTTGCTCCTATCACTCATTCCTTTCCCTCATCAGCTCCTTGGAAACCAGACTCATCAAATACCCAAATGCAATGGGGCTCAATTGGTTTGCCACCATCTCCTTTAAACAAAGTATCATGCAAAAGACTAAAATATGCCTCTTTTGTGGCAGGGCTAATAGCACGACCATGGGCACTATCAAGACCTCGAGCATAGTAGGTGCCCAACCTGTTTGAATGCTTCTCCACAAAATGGTCTGTCCAGTTTTTGCCAACACCTGTTTCAGAAAATTTACCACCAAGTCAAGCATGCAGAATTTCATCAACATGTTCCTTGAGTCATTTGTGGCTGAGTGGGAATCCTCAATGTGCTATCTCAATGGAATACTCTATTACTCTCTCTGTCTCCTCTGAGGTGAGCCAACCTTTCTCTGCATTGAAGTTGCCAAGCCTTCTACCACCTTTTGCCAGATTTGCAAGTGTCCTATCACTGAGTTTTATGGCTCTTCCTATCTCCATGAAATATGCCTTCTTGACTTCCCAGAAAACCATTTGTCTTCCTTTTTTCTCCTCTGTAGGTTCCTTTTCAAGCTCAGCCTGGTAAATGGCCACTGCTCAGGCCATAATCATATCATGTTCTTCTCATAGAATCTGCCTTTTTTTGTATTAGATTTTGCTCATCCTACCACGGCTTTGCTGCTTGTCAGTAATATGCTGTGTGATTAAGTTTAGAGTTCGAAAGTTGAATAGCATGAGAACTATGTGTGACCAGCTCCCCAAGATAAGACCTTTGAAAACTACCATTGTTCAATCTATGTACTTTGTAGAAGGAAAAAAGGAGGTATTCACAAATCTGTTGCAGGTAAAAATGATGTTTGAAGTATATACTTTGTTTTGTACCAGCCACTTTTTCTCAAAAAAAATCATTGATGTACTATGGCTCTCAACAAAATTCATTCAGGATGGAAAAATCAACTGATTTGTGTCATGCACAACATCATGGACATCAATTCTTCATCATATACTATACAAATGTCCATTGAGGCCTCATCTTTAATATCTTCCTATGTGTTGATATGAAAAAATGAAGAAATAATAAATTTTGCCTGAGGTGGGTAAAGGACTGGGGGTGGGCAAAGGACTGGTTCTATACTGTAGAGTCCTGGAGGTCATGGACATAACACCATACTTCCTTACTGTTGTCATGACTATTGAAGATAATGTAGCCATGGCCATATTCACAGTAAGCATAATTGACTATGTGAGCCTATTTTGTTGGAATAGTTTAGGATGGGGTGGATGGGCATATCAGACGACTTACTGTTGCAAAATGTAGCTACATATATCCTCACCATCCCAATCCCACCCTCACAAGCTTTACCTCATCATCCTGTAGGCTGTAGGTCCCATTGTGGAGTGGCCTTATTGCTTGGTTCACTGGTCATTCCCTTGCCATTTGGAAAATAGGAAAGGAACTGGATGGACTCCTGATTTCTAAACACAGATAGAACAATGACTGGTTCATGACCAGTGTTGAAATCAATGTGTTTGCTGCTGCACTAGTGCTGCCATGGTCTGGTTCAGTCTGGTTTGGAGGGTCCTAGACAAGAACCAAGAACTGGACCATCAGTTCGGTTCTACAAAATGCCCAAACCCAGAACCAGACCATAGAGAATGGTTCTCTATGGTCCAGTTCAGTTTTTTTGCAGTCCGAACCCAAACTGAACCAAAAAAATTCTGTAGGGAGTGCAAAAAAAACATTGACAAAGTACTAGTCTACATATTGAGTAACTAGTCTAATCACATGGCTGCATACTCCCCTGCCTCTGTAGCTGCTGAAAGATGTCCATTCTGGTAAGTGGCCTTCATTAACTGTAGTGCAGAGAAGGTGGATGGTGCAAGTGTGTTGTGGTGCAGGGTAGATGTGATGCCCCCACTAGAGAAAGCATGTTCAGAGGGCACAGCACTTCCTTGAATCAGTAAATAATTGTGTGCAATACAAGCCAGTGTCGGATACTGTAGCAAGTGCAGCTAATGAATAATGTCAGTTGAGAATGTATTAAATTAAAAACCAACTTACCTCCCACCACACCACAATATCATTTGTCTCTTCCAACAGCAAACCAAGATATGAGGTAAGTTCATGATGGGGATCTCACATGTGATGATCTGTAGCTTGATGTGCCATGACAGCATTGTGCATCCAGGATTGGCCATACTGAATGACCTGCAATGCTTTTGGTGGCACAGCAGCCTGTTCTGTAGCACACAGCAGTGGAGGAGCCTTGTAATACTTATTGAACTACAATGTACATACTTATCAGCCACTGGAAGCATACAGCACTCAAATCAGACTTACCATAGCTTGAAAACAAGCTCTCCCACTTGTGACCTTCACACCAGTCCAATGGGTTTTGACATATGCTAACTTGAAGTTAGGGTCCAGAACTATAGTTACATCAGATTCCAGCACTCAAAGAGAAAATAACAAAGCTCACCCAGACAGATGAAATAAACATCTGAGTCGCTGGTTTTCTCATAGTACTTCTCCACATTCTTGAGACCTTTCTGAATCACACCAGTGATTGATGTGTATTCCAGATCATTAGCCATTGTCTGCCATGTATTGGCAAGACACTCTAGTGTTGGTATAGTCTGCCAAGCTGTTGGATGGGTGGCCAAAGAGAAAGACTGCTGTGCAGTCATGGGCTCCTACAATTATCATAACTGTAAGTAAATAAATGAATGAACAATCAGATAAAAAAATACCTTAAAGACATTATGTACCAGTTGAATTTTTTTCCAATCAACTTAATCAAGCTTGAAGTCACCATATGACTTGTTGCACAACTTTGGGACTTCGTCACTCTCATCAGCAAGAAGAGTGAAGTGGTTGATGGGCTGAAAAAAATGAAGATGTTGGAGATTTGTATGTGTGATCATGTCTCACTCACCAGGCAAAGAGACAAGAAGCATTTAAGGCACTTAAACAAAGATGCCCAGTGTGTTCTCACCCAGGCCAAAATCTTGCAAACAGGGATGCCCTCTTCCTCACAAGTCTTTTGGAAGAATGCCCTGGCTTGTTGTGATTTGCAAATATATCATTTTCATGTCAACAAAACAACTTGAAAAGAACACAAAAAAGAGGACTTCACCTGTTTGATAAGAGCGAGCACTTTGCCAATGGCATCTGCCACATCAAAACCATCCTCAGTTATAGCTTTGGGATTGCATTCCAATTCAGCCAGCTGTTGAGTGAAACTGTCAATGTCAGTATCATCACCATTATCTATAGCATGGCAAATCTTCTTGAGTAAGGTGGCTTGAGGGGTAGGTGTGACTGCATCAATGAAGTGTCACACAGCAAGATTGAGGATGTGTTCTTGACAGCGGATGCAGTGAGGACCTGGGAGCCAATCATGACTGTCCTCATTCAAGACCTTTCCTACTTCTTTCATGGCAGTGTCATTATTTGAGGCATTATCTGATGTCATCCAGCCAACCTGTACAAAGTAATTCAATAAGTCAATACATTGCTAAAACAAAACATGAAAAACACACCTTCTTGCAAATATTGTACCTATCTATTGTCTCAACAAGTATGCAGGCAATGTTCTGGCCACTATGGTTGCCATTGATATGACTGAAGTCAAGCTGCTCCCATTTCAACTCCCATTGCTGTGGCTTATCAGGGGGGTTCCAAATGTAATGGCCAGTAACAGACAAAAAAGGGTTGCCAATGATAGATGTCCATGAGTCAAATGTCATAGACACAGCACTGTCAATATTCTACCAAAACTGTATCAAGGACAGGTGTCATATCCCACAATCTGAACCCACATTCCATAATATTCCCATGCATTCCAAGCCTATGTCCAGACCCTACTTCATATCCAACTCATTCCCAGATCCCCTTCTGCTGTGTGCTCCACACCTCAACAGGATCAACTCTGCTCTGGATTTACCCCTGAGCTCCAGACCTCCAGATCCTCACTGCTGGCCTGATCCATACCACCCTATCCCATCCACCTTATGCACACTCTATCCAGCAAGACATCTGGACTTCACCTTGTCTTGGTGTTAAGAACCATGTTGCTCAAGGGGGAGAGAGACTGACTCAGAGGGGCTTGGCCTCAGCTTGTATGCTGTGCCCCTTACCCGAGTATGTGCCCTTCATTTCATATGAGGTCCGATGATGGTCCAACAAAGTCCAGAGGACTTCCGGAGGCTGGCTACTCTGCTGGAGAGTGCTAGAGGACTTCCAGAGGAGCGTGGGAAATGTCCGGAGGAGTGTGGGAGAGTTCCGGAGGAATACAGGAAGTGCTCAGGAGAGTTCCTACTACAAGGTAATACTTCTACAGGAAACAGGATGGAGGGATAGGAGGTCCAAAGGTCCAGAGGACAGGAGGACAGGAGGGCAGGAGGGCAGGATGATGGAGGATGGAGGACGGAAGGACAGGATGTCTGGAGGTACAAAGGACAGGATGTCCGAAGGACAGGAGGATAGGATGTCCAAGGGTTAGGAGGACGGAACGTCTGAAGGACAGGACATCCAGAGGTCCGGAAGGAATAGGGGCTACATCGGACAAAGTCTGATGTAGAAACAAGCAGGGGTAGACTACCCTAAGGTAGAGTCAGAGGGACAGGGATTGGACCTAAGTCCAGAAAGAGGGTAAGTGCCGGAAAGGTGGAGCTCCAGCCTAGGGGATCAATCCCTAGGCCTGATGGGTAGGACAGACTTAGGTGGACCAAAGTCTGAGAGAGGATTGGGCAAGTCTAAGTTGATATTCAAACTAAGGAACTACAGGAGTATCTACAGGGGTTATATACTGAACAGTATCTGAGGGGATCAGTAAGCAAAGGAGCAAGGCTATGTACGAGCATGTGGAAACACATTAGTAAGTAAGACGGAACATAAGTAAATGAACTCAGAGATAAAGACTTGTACAAGGATCAATAAGCAAGACGGAAGAAGAGGTAACCGAAAGCTGGAAAGCAGAGAATGCCTAAATGGGGATAGGTGCAGGATATCAGACAGAGGGTGGGAGTAGGTCCAGAGATCTGGGGATCCGGAAGACAAGGTGGATACAGGACTGGGATATGAGAAGGTGGATAGAGTCCAGAATCTGAGACGAGGTGAAGTCCAAATGTCTTGCTGGATGGAGTGTACATAGGGTGGATGGGACAGGGGGTTATGGTTCAGGCTAGCAGTGGAGATCCGATGGTCCAGAGCTCAGGGGTAAATCCGGAGCATAGTTGATCCTGCTGAGGTGTGGAGCACACAGCGGAAGGGGATCTGGGAATGAGTTGGATATGAAGTGTGGTCCAGACGTAGGCTTGGAAGGCGTGGGAATATGATGGAATGTGGGTCCAGATTGTGGGATATGACACTCAGATTCCAGACTATATCCACCTTCTCATATCCCAGTCCTGTATCCACCTCATCTTCCAGATCCTCAGATCTCCAGACCTCTGGATATTAACTGTAACTATCTCTGGATGCATTCCTGCCCTCTGTCTGATATCCTGTACCTATCCCCATTTAGACATCTCTGCCTTTCTGG